GAGAGAGAGAGAGAGAGAGAGAGAGAGAGAGAGAGAGAGAGAGAGTTATATAGCGCAAAAATATCGAAAAATCCTGATAAAATTTAACTTTGCTTTTTCGCGTCGCGAAAAGCCGACTTTCTCGCTGGTTGGGATTTGTCGCCGATGGCGGTCGTTTCCGCGGCCGACTTGCTCCCTCATCTCCGACATTCGGGACATTGTGCTGCAAGTACGACGGCGGGAGCGGAGCGTCGCGTCGAACTTAATTAACGAGCAAACGCACGTCCGTGATGTCGTCGTCGTCGCGTTGTTATCGTTGTTGGACCGAAACGGCGCTCGAATAACCCGCGAGACTGTAACTCGGAGAGCGAGTAAACAGTTACAAGGTATAATTGCATAAACATTAGCGAGTTGCAACAAAATAGAACCGCCGTAGTTAAGGTTCTACATTCTAAACTCGCCGGTGCGACGGAGACGATAGATAGAGATGGAGGGGGGAGAGAGGGAGAGGGAGAGAAAGAGTAGGACAGAATTCTGTTTACGATCGTGCGACGACGAAGTCGCTCCAAGCACTCACTGCTCTCTCTCTCTCTCTCTCTCTCTCTCTCTCTCTCTCTCTCTCTCTCTCTCTCTCTTTTTCTTTCCCTACGTAAGCAGGGAATCTGTTTAATTAATTATGAAAGAAGGTGTGGCGCCGAACAGACCAATCCGACCGGTTCGTTCGTCCTCGAGCCTCCGTCGAGCGTTTCGATTATTAGCGTGCTGTCGCCATCGGGGCTCAGTGGCAGAGCACCAGCCGTGCGAGGACCGTCGATCGTGTCGATTGTGAGCATCCAATATACGTCGCACCTGCGAGTGGAAAGGTCCGTGCGTGTCCTTGGGGAACACTTTGAGAGCGAAGAGACAGCGCAGAGATCGAAGATTAGCAGGTGAAAATTCCGAGGGCTACTTCTACGCGAACAACGAGATGTCCATGCCCGTGAGTTTCCGTGAACGCTGGAACGTCCGCGCCTCCGACATCGCCAGGCGAACCTACAATCCCATCAGGTCGATCGTGGAGAACATCGTCGTCGAGCCGAATCCCAACAAGTCGATGATCGCGTTGTCTCTCGGTGAGTCCGTGTGCGGACATCGGCCCGTGAGGATATCTCGCCGCAAGAACGTCTGCGCTCTTTTCTACGAGTTGATCTTCTAACCTGCTCGACCGTTCATTTGCATACTAGTAGGCTCGACATGAATACCATTAATTCCTGAATAGCGCGGTCCTCTCTTGAATCTCTTAGATTTTTAACATCTCTCAGGGAACTTTCAAAGTTAGCTTCTAAAAGTTACCAATTCTAAGGGCGCATGATGTATATTTTTCATTTAAAATGTTAAGTGTTAAATTTAATATAACTGAAGTTCAATAATGCACTGAGAATAAAATACTAGAAAATTTATTTGTGCACTGAATAAACGGTACATTTGCCCTGTACATAAATCTGTGCCAGTCAGATCCAATATTGGATTTGTTTAGTACAACTAGATTTATATGTGGGCCAACCATACTGCTTTTTTGCGTGTGGGATATAAATTTTATTCACAGAAACAAATCTTATATCCCACAAATAAATTTCCAAGTATTTTTTCTTAAGAAATGTGTCCAAGGATCTGTCATATAGATTTATTAAGCACGTTTCTATTTGAGCGGCTTTAAAATTTTCTTTGAGTTACCAATTCGAGGTATCCTGCACGGTATATATATTTCTAATGTACAATATTGTTAAACTTAATACAAGTGAAATTTAATATTGCTTAAATATACCTCATGGATTTATGTATTACGCGTCTGTCAAACGTCTCGAAAGATAAAATCTCTCGTTAGAATGATTAATCCGTAAGAAAAAACGAGAGAATATATATATACGAAGTCGAATTTACGATAAGGAATAATTGCGATAATTCGAGCGCATGTAAAAAAAGATAAAAAAAGAAGGATATAGATTCGCTGACGATATTTTATCGAACGTACCCAATCACTTGCGTATTTGAAATATCTCGTTAATTCCGATTCGATTATCGCACGACTTTCAAGAATTCTTCCCTAGGAATGTGAGCGTTTATTCATGCCGTAATATCCGAATCCCGGCGACGTTCGCTGGACTCCACGGATTCTCATCGTTTTACAAGACGAGGAGGGATGAAAGGCGGGAGAGCGCGAGAGATGGTCTATCACGGTGGTGCAATCAAGCGGTTATTTCATTTTTTTTCCCTCCCACGCGGAGCAAAGGACGGGGTAGAAGCGACGAGAACGATCGTTCACCGTCGAGTGAGGAAAGCAGAGGGTTGTACGTCGCGCTTCATTGCAAAAGCTGCGCGAAGATGAGCGCAACGTGCACGTCCGAACCAGATTACGACGTGCCCTACACCTTTGCTCTCGCTAATGTATAAAACGATACGGTAATTAAAGGGCTCGCTCGTGCTGCACGAAGGATCGCGTATTACGCAGCGCGACGCAACGTTCTCCCACGATCAAGAACTCGCAGAATAAAGTATTTCGCTTCTCCTATCGCGTTAGATTCGCCGAATGAAATCATTTGTTGAAATTATTCGCGTTTTTCGTAGCGTCCGCGGTATCTGGTGCAAAAAAAAAACGTTACGCGTATGTGGAGCGGCCACCGCTGCCGGCTTTGCGCGGTAAACGCGAGTAAATGCATACAAATTGCGAACTTTCGTTGTTCCCTATGAGCATAGTTAGATTCTCAATATGCATGATCTCCGGCAATTGACGTGCGAAAAGTTTTGACGGCTCGGCGAAAAATGGGAGGTCGAATTACCCGGTGTGAGGATAGAATACGCCGGCGAATACGAAAGTGCAGTATTTTGATTAGCTCCAGAACACGCGTAAACCGGGTTGAAAATATCGGACCGAGTTCGAATCTGCCTCTGTTCTGCGAAAGGAAAAGGAAAAACGTGAAAGCGATCTCGCGCGCACGCGCGACGGGAGATGTCCACGCGGTTTTTTCGTACGTGATTTTTTAGACAACCGAGCAATTTTACTATCATTCACAGCAGCGGTCCCATCGTTGTCCCATCGAATTTCGCGATGACATTTTTTTCGGATACTCGTGGTTGCTTTTTTCTATATCTCTTAGCGAGGTTTTGACGGCGAATAATCGCCCGTAATACAGTTCACGATTTTTCCTCTGCTTCAAATGTAAAATCAATGCTGCGCGGAAAGAAAAGTTCGATCAGATGAGCTAATTTCTGATGAGATATGGATGATTCAGAAATTTCGACTAAAACTATCAAAATTCTGTTCAAGTTAATCAGAACTCTTGATAATTTAGATTGAATTCCGATAACTTCAACGGGATTTCTGAATCGTTCGTGTTCACGAAAAACCAGTTGATCTAACCAGATTCTCTTTCTGTACATAAATATTAATAAAACATCATAAGAAACGCCACTTAACGCCGTTATCACAGACCTCCGAACGCGGAAATATCGGAACCAAATGTTCCGTTCGCTCTGGGAAAATATTGATACGCAAACACACGGGTGTAACGTGAGCAATATTTCGCTTGCCGACTTCGCCGTGCTGTTGGAGGAAACAACTTTTTTGTTTTGGAAACCTTTTTGGAAGGCTTTTGAAGCATAAGAGCTTGCCAGACGGTAGAACAATTCCAATATGCTTTGATCGGTAAAATTCCTACGACGCCTTGCGCTTTTTTCGATTTAAAGAAACGCTGGTTAAAATGCTGGGGATTTTTCCACGATGAGCGACCTTGTACGCTCGGGGTGATTGGTGGAAGTATTGCAACGCAATGTTGTAGATAAGATGCCTCTGATTTCTCGAAGTTCTTTGATTTCCTATTTTCACTTTTGAGACGATTGCATGAATGTCGCGCAAGTAAACGCACGCAATGTTGAACGAACAATTTTCCCTCGGAGCTGAATTAATTCATCATTTTATTGCAGCTGACGAATTATTATTAATTGGCAAGGGGATGAATTTTATGAAGCGCGTGTCTCGACCGGCGTTCCCGCGAAAATATTTCCCCAAGAGCCAACGGTAGGGATGGAAGAGACCGCGAAATTTCCTCCCCGTAAAGCTATTCGCGCGCAGAACTAAAGAATGAAAAAAAATCTTTCGGCCCCGATCAAACTTAATCGTATTTTGTTTGGTGATTCCGTTAACTTTTTTCAATTCTTCGCCAAGTTCTCGGGCTTTCCGCGCCGGGATACGCGATTTTAACTATCCGGCGCAGAGTTTTATAAGCGGTGAAAAGTTAAAAGGCGGTGGTAGTGACGCGTGAGTCCCCTTAACATTTGCAGCGCGCGAGTGGCGCAAAATGCGGATGTGTCAGGATGTATCGGAAAAACGTCCGGAGCGCAGTCCTCAGCAAATTTTATAGCGAAATAGAATAGAACTGACACACGAGCACGCTAATCTAAATATATTCCGATACAAATCCTACGCGGATGCGCGCCAGCGGCTGTAAACATTTTTCCAGAGAGCTACCTTTTATTCTATACATACGCAATTCGAGAAAGATTACAAAGTCCAAAAGTGGAATATGGCTGCCGCGTCCGCGAGATCTGTTCTTTCATTTTTTTTTCGCAAATCACCGCGCAAAGAAATGATCGCGATAATCTCGAAGGAGGGATCGATTCGGCTCAAGAACATTCATCTGGATCAGCACTCGCGCGTTCTATTTTACTTTATGTAAAATATACGGCATTTCGAAGGATTTTCGAAGGATTTTTGGTAATACGAAAGTTAGATCTTATCTCTCTCTTTCTTTTTTTTTTTCGACGGGGGATTTTTTGGTACCACGAGGGTACACTTTGTGATATATGTATATGCGGTGCGCCGCGCCATTCGATAAAGTTTCGGAATATGGCCCTGTTCCAAAAATATTCCAAAACCGGTTTGCAAGTTTCGTAACGCATTGAAAACGACAGAAAAATAAGTAAGTCTACCGAAATTTTTTCCTCTTAAAAAAAGAAAGAAAACGAAAAAGAGCATATGTCAAATTTTCAAACAGAAATTGTACCGGCGAATTTAAAACGGGACTGGTGTGAGAGAGAGAGAGAGAGAGGGAGAGAAAGAAAGAGAGATAGTGCTCGTTCATTACACGGCGAAATGAGCAGAGATCCATATTTAGCCAGCGATATCATATTTCGTAAAATATTCGATAACGCAAATGCGCGAGTGTTAATTGGACATTATAACAAAAAAAAAAGTTCCCAAAAATTAATCAAAATTAAAATGCGCTTTTACGCGGTATAAGCGACGAAGTCCGTTTGGTGTCCTTTTATCTATCTATCTTCACTCTTTTGGTTTATCATCGGGGAGAAGAAGTCAACGGGGAGAGATCGCATTCTACGCGACATACACACATCGTGAAACAATCCGAGGCGACAATGGGCCGATGGCAATAGATAAAAATGATAATTCGAAAATATCTAACTCGGCACATGTTGTCACGTATACGCGTAATGCGTGTAAAACAATAACGCAGAGTGAAAGCGTTCAAAAATCCCGGTCAGCGCGAGCTTACGCCCGCGCAAACCGCTGATTGACATCGACTGCAAATGGAGAAACATCAACGGAAAATATAATCGCGATGACGTCGGTGAGCACAACCCTTCCCCGATTAACACAACAGTAAAGTTGTAATTACATAAATTCTGTGGCGCGCGCTCAAATTTTATATCGTCGCGCCGCGTTGTCGCACTCCACAACAGAAATTGACTGTGGCACGGAATTATATATATATATGTAGCCCCCGGGAAACAATTAATTAATTCCAATTATATGGAGAATACGAGCCCGCCCGGCTGGGCCGCGTGCGCGACGGTGGGCGTTTTGTTACACTTTGACAACATGTCTGTAAACAGCGTTTCCTACTCGGCGTCGCGCGCGAGTTTGGATTCAGTAATCAATTACAATGACATGGCGTACGTGTAATTAGGTGTTTACGCGAAATTGTGTTCGCGGTGTAGCGTCCGCGTATTTGGCGCGGAGGCATTCGGGATTTGCGCGATCGACGACTTACGTAATTGCACGTAATCGCGTGGCCAGGTTATTCGTTAAACGTTAGTTTAGCGATTTTCTATCTCAATCCCTCTCTCTATAGTATTGTGGTATTGTAGAGGAGTTTGGTTTGAAAGATCTTATATTATAATATGATAATGCTAGGTAAAGTTGAATATTGAAATCTGATTATAGCTGATAAATATTTAAAGCTAGTGTTTGAGTTATTAGTGTCTGAGAGCTGACATTATCATGGTATTTTTTATTCAATGTTAGAAAACATTGCGCAACTTAGTCAGTAAGCTTGGAATAGAATAATTTTTGTTTTATTTCTTTTCTGTGAATTTTCTTTCTTTCTTTATATTGTTTATTTTTTATTATTGATTCTATTGTACTCATAAATTACTAAAAACTTTTGAGGGTTTCTACTCCAGGAGTAAATAAACTACTCTACTTTACTCTATTCCTCTCTTTCTCTCCTCTCAAAGCGTGCCCGTCGTTTTTCACAGGTGATCCCACGACTTTCGGCAATCTCAAGCCACCGAAGGAGGTGATCGAGGCAGTGCAAGAGAGTGTCGCCTCGCAATTGTACAACGGATACGCGCCGTGCACAGGTAATTTCCGAACGCGGCACTCGCAAGACCGTCAACCTTTTAAAGCCCAGGCATCGATCCCGTTCGAGTGAAATATTTTTTTTTTCATGAGATAGCCTGAAAAACGCTCCTGATGAAAAACACAAATAAAACTGACCGTCGATTTTCGAAGCGCGATTCTCTGAAATTATGTAACAAACGTGGACAAAAAGATCGTCCGCTACTTTTGTGTGAGTTTCGGATCTGTCTTGGGAGAATTCTCCCATTGGACAAGACAGAATATGTTCCTAAACTCACAAAATAAACAGGCGGACAGCCTTCCTGTCCGCGATTGTATTTATGTTTGCGCATGTTGCCTCACCTATAGAATTCAATAAATCTTATAGCCATGATAAAATGGACATAAAAGCGCCAACCTTTGTTGTGCTTTAAGATGACATTGATGAAAAATTGGGAAAATAAAATTCGTTCACTTCTTCTCGTAAAAAACTTTACGCAATTTCGAGTGTCGACGATTCTGTTCTGTATACGATCGCTATGTTGATTCTTTCAGCGGGAAAATCACTGTTTCACGACTTGGAACGAAGTATCTACTCTATTTAAGATAGTTAATAATATATCGACAGAGAAAAAGAGAGAGAGAAAGAATCATCTCTCTCTCTCTCTCTTTGCATATAAATATAATTCTTTCAAGCGCTTCGTTGCGTTTACTGCAATTCATCCGCTTAGTTGCACATTATTTTGTCATTGTATTTTCAGTTGTTTCCTTTTCTCTTACGTATTTTTCATAATATCATGCTTGCATGTTTTATTTTTTATTCTATTATACTTTTAACTGTTCCATTTTTTATTTTGTTGTACTGTTGTATAATTTTAATTATAACTCGCTTGTGTGTTACATACTCACATTTTATGCATGGAAAAAGGTTACATTCCTGTTGATAAATAATGAAATATTGAAAATTTGGGGAGGCAATCCAATTATGTACGAATGTACATAATTGCTTGCAATGGACCTTGAAAGGTTCGGTAGATCGCGATCTGGGAATCCCGAGGTCGCGGCCAATTTTACACTGGGGACGAGATAACGAGGAGCAAATTTGTTACCAGCTAACGTATAAATCGCGTTTCACTGGATATCCTATTGTATTACCGATTTTCCAAATGAGAGTATACGCACGCGGCTAAATCATTTAAATAATAGCGTAAATTACTTCGACGTTGATATTGGATAGGTCGGCGCACATTTGTCTATTCTAATAATGAATCATTAACGAATATCACAATAATGCAGATTTAATTATTCACAAAGATATATCTGTTGCATAGCGCGTCACACAGGAAGGCAGAGAAGTAGAACGGGGATTTAAGCGACGTCTAATTACGTTTGCTCGATAACGCGAAGGATATTCTCACGTTCATTGATCCTCGTATTCGCAGGTTATCAGAGGGCACGAGAGGCCGTGGCGGAGTACAGCTCAAACGAGTTCGTGAAAGTCGACGCCAAGGTACGCAGATATCGACGGACACGTGCGCCCGTGTCAAGTATCGACGGCGGGCACGTGTCGCGAGGCGAATTTCGTGTCACCGGCAGTCACCACGCTGCCAAGATTTCTCTCTCGTCCGTGTGCGTCCCGTGCACGTCGCACTATCTTTTGCAAGTTCCGACACTTTATAAAAAGTCCCCCTCTCCCGTTTTCCCTCGGCGGAACGTCGCCCATTTGTCAGCCGGCGTTTTGCACGGAGAGGCCGGCAAGGCCTCTTTTTATGCGCAAGAGCCGAATTTACAAAGATACTCGCCAGAGTGCAGGTGCAATCTATGCTTTATTATCTGTCGAACGAGCGTCAACGAGTCGATCTCGTCCGCGAGTTCTCTTGAAATATTCATCGAGTTCGTTCTTCTCTCCCGAGTCGCGGCTGAAAATAGGCGACGCGGATATGTATCGCGGGGACGATTTCCACGACGAGGTCGCGCGCGCATTCCAAATATACTCCACTCGCACGATCTCAAGGATCGTTAATTATCCCGGCACCGCGGAATTTCGCGAGACACGGTCGGAGATTGCGTAATCAACCGACGTGGAGGTGAGGCGACTGACGATACGTGTACGCGACACCTGCGAATTAAATTGGTTTTCGATTTTGCAAACCACTCCAATTATTCGACTGAATATAAAATTACGCGGCAGTGCTGCTCGCGCGCTACGTTATCCAGTCGGCCGGATGACAATGACCGAGTCGAGCTTAGAGTTCTTTTGCACGCTGCACAGCATTGTACCGTTCATTGCGAGAGGAAAAGCGACGCTTTTAATCGTGTGCTTTCATCGCCGCGTTCGGTGAGTTTGCTGCCGATAAAAGCGGCAAAAATCTCATGAGACGAGTCGCCGCATAGAATCCGCTTGCACTTTCGTTCGATCTTGCTACAAAAGACTTTTCTCCGATACGAGAACGTCGAGATCGTCATCGTATTGTCAGTAAATTTAAATTGTCGAAAAACTGTGCTACGGGCAATGATAAAAAGAAAAAGAAAATGTGAACAATGCCTTCTTTTCCTTTTTTTTGTCGATACGAGAAATACTTTCGCACGTGCGGTCGGCGTTCACTAAGACGCGCAAGACAGTACGGGAGGAGTGACTTATTTTCTATCTCTATTCCGTAGGACGTGATCCTGTGCAGCGGATGTTCCAGCGCACTTGACATGTCCATCACGGCTTTGGCCCGAGCCGGTCAAAACATCCTGATTCCACGCCCTGGTTTCTCGATCTATCGAACGCTGGCGGAAGGTCTTAGTATTACGGTCAAATCGTACGACTTACGCGTAAGTATCCTCGCCGAGGAAGAGAAAACGAGCGTTCCCACACTGAAAGAAAAAAAACAAGAAATAAGAAACGTTCATTCAAGTGGGTAATGACATATCTTTACTTACATACTGATATGAAACTTTTTTTCAAACAAGGAAACATACATTTTCTTAAAACTTAAAAGTTGAGCTTTTCATGAAAACAATTGTTTATTCTATTTAAAATAGGAGAATTCAGATTTGAGTAAATATGTCATTAGAGTATCCACATAACCAGAATAAATATTTTCTCTATCAGTGCACACGGGTGAAGCTTTTCTCCTCCGAAATTCTACTTCTCATCATCTCGTTCTATTTCTACAGAATAGAACATTCTGTTCTACTTCTCTAAAATCGAGCAAAAGAAAAATAGATGGCGAAAGAACGACTTACGAATTTCTTCTCGAGAATAAAGTGGTGAACAAAATTAATATTCAGCGAGTAAATTGGACTCGCGTCATCAACATTGTCGGGTCAAGCGGCACTTTTTCAAAAAATCGTGGACACGATTGTATCTCTGTATTTAATCGTTTCTCCAATTATTAAATTAATCAGCACTTAATTTATCCGTTCACCGTGAGCGCGGCTGTGAACAACATAACGAATATCGCGCCGAACAACACTTCATGTTGCCGCGATAGCGCGTGAAATATTGATCGATATCGCAGCGCGCGACAGCGGCCGCGCTCTCTATGTGCTCTGTAATAATCGTGGCTGTGAAAGAAGGCGACATTAGGGATGGGTGATGTTGAAAAAAAAATTGACTTCCAAAAAATCGATTACAAAATGTATAAATTTGTTATAATCGATAAAATATTAGAAACATCGATAATAATCGATTAATTCGAATATCTCTAATAATAATCTTTACTTAATAATGGTGAATATCTATATAAAGACTTGTATATAATAAATACAATAAAAATATCTATATTATAATTAAAATATCATTGCTATATATATTTTTTTTGACAAAGTTGTAATGGCTACTGCATGTAGGACGGGTGGAACTCGATTGACTACGTCCCGATTGGACACAGATTATATCCAGACAACATAATGTCTAAAATCGGAACATAAGATGTCTTAAAGATAATCTTTAAGACGCCTAAAGACATTTATACGTAAATTGTCTAAAAAACATCTTAAAGATGATCTTTAAGACATCTTATGTCCCGATTTCAGACATTATGTTGTCTTATGATTGGTTCGATCTAATTCATTAGATAATTCTTTGCACCGGTTGGTTGTGTCCAATCAGGACACAGACCCGTATTCTGAGTTCTCTTTTAACGATAAATGAGCCTCTAAAAGTGATTCATAGCTAATTAGAAAGCTTATAAGCCACTTTTAGAGGCTCATTTATTGTTAAAAGAGAACTCAGAATACGGGCCAAAAAGTTTAGCGACGATTTTAAGAACATCGAACAAAAAAACTATCGTCTAAGGAATAATCAAGTTGATAAAACATCATACGATAATCGATTTTATAAAACAGAAATCGTTGTCAAAATAATCGACTTGATATCGCCCATCCCTAGGCGGCATTACACGCTACACTACCGTGTCGCATCGTCATTAATAAGAAATACGCATAACATCGGCCGCGCCGTATTTCTTGAGAGTTACGCGTTATTACTAAACGCACTTCTAAAGCGGCGGGACCCGGCCACTTGTAGCGAGCGCGCCGGCTTTATATGCAAAAATATACCGCGCGTTTCGTTAGTATCTTCAAATTTATTAACCACCCAGGGTGCGAATGCATTCATTTACGAAAAACAATGACGCCGCATAATATTCCATTTATTTAGTGTTTCGCGAGGACGAGCTGGGGGCAGGACGAGAGGGGAACGTGACTGAACGGAATCTCTTATCGCGTTAATCGCGCATATTCTATTAGATGTGTCGGGAATTACCGTCGTTTTTCACATTACAAATTGCAGGTTATGATGATTAAGCTCTCGTTTCCTCGTCGCGATATCTCGATCCATTATGACGTCACAAGCGAGAAAATACACGCTAAAAAATTCATGCAGAAGAATACATTGTGATGAAATGATGTGTTCGCAAAGTGGCACTTGCAATTGACTGAGCGGATCTGTGAAATAATCTCAGCACTCTCCTTGCACTCCAATAATCAACAAATAATCGTAAAATTAACGCGATGGAATGGTGAAATAACCCGAATCGAAATTTCAGCCTTTTAATCTAAACTTTCTAATATTTGTGTATTTTGAGAGAGTGTGTATGCTTAATACACATGGAAATTGAAATCCTACTTAGTATCTCTAAATTGGTAGAAAACACACCAAATATCACTTGTGGTGCCTAAGAAAGATCTCTCGGCAAAGTTAGTAAGTTAAATAGACTCAAAAGAGATTGATTAGGCTTGAGAATATCAAAATAGGCATTAAATAGAATATTGAGATCGAATAGTGAGGCTAAAAGTAGACAAAATTTTGACTCGGGTAAGTTAAATAGAATCAAAAGAGCTTGATGTAGGTTTGAGAATATCAAAATAGATGTTAAATAGAATAGGTAATAAGGCTGAAAATAGGATCAGAATTACGACTTGGTATTTTACGGATTGCACGTGTCATTTTGCATATTTTTATGGTGCATTATGGGTGTATTTTTTCGCTTTTGACTTCAGCAATCAAGAATTTCGCGACAAGGGGTCAAGAGTCTTGAACGACCATCGGTCTTTTCTACTTGCCTCTCCACCCTTACACGCATCACCATAAAAGAGCAGTAAGAAAGAGATTTATTTTTCATATCCATCCACGCGATAAGCAGATTGATCTCGCGGGAGAACTTGATCGAAGATTTCCAGATCCACTACCTCATTAAATAAACAAGATGTAAAAGAGGTTCCCGTCGCGAACTCATGAATGCGTGAAAAGTCACTTTTAATTTCTACGTCTCGCAAGCGATAATGGCGGAAACACTCCGCGGAAATATTCCGCAGCTAAAAAGTTCAACAGATTTGCATCTTATTGTGCGCGATGGTTCCTCGGCTCGGCGAAGCATTTAATTTTCAACGTCTTCGTACGTAATTTCGCAATTCGATTCAAGCAACCTCGTCGACTTCTTTCCCTGTTATCGCGAGATTTCGCGTTTCGACGCAAATCTTTTGCACGGGCATTCACGCGTTAGCGCAGAATCCAGACTCCGGGCCAATCGTCCCGACGTTATCGCGTAATGGCTTTAAACGGCGCGAAATCATATTTAAATCGCCCGTCTATTTACACGATGAATCAGTGCGCTCGCTCGGAGATCTTCAAACATCGGACCGAAGTGCTAATGAGGCAGTTTCCACTCTTTTCAGCTTCGCCTGGCGGCGAGTTTTAACGTTTCGCCGCGCTTTCCGCTCTTTTCGCCCTCCGCTCGCTCGTCGTCGTCTCGCATCGTGAAGTATTTTACCTCCGAGAAGCAATTACAACCGCACCGCCGTAACTTTAATTGTCTACAAGGCGGAATGCGCTAGAAGTTCGTGCGCTATGGTGTGCATATCATGGTGTGTCTGTCTACGACATCTTATCATATTTCGTAGCAGCTCGCGCGCGTTTCAGTATTTTCACTCGATCCCGTTGAGTCTGTTAAAAACGCTTTTGCAAAAGTTGCTTCATCCGAGAAGCTGTACGCGCGAAAACAATACGTCAGCCGAAATGATTTTCAGAGTTTGGATCGGCCCAATATGGCGATGCAATTTAATGCAAACAAATACACACACACGCATACCGTACACCGAGCGGGGAAAGTTTTAAACATCACAATGCTCCCGACTGTTTGATGGAGCTTTAATTTTAGCAGAGACAAGTTTCTGCGCAGATACATACGGTTAATACGTACTCGCGAATAACGAAAATTAAAAAAAAAAATATATATATGTATATAATATATATTATTAATATATATATATTATATATATATATAATAAAATAAAATATTTGTCTATATGTTCCTTATTAACTCCTAAACCCTTTGACCGATCTAGACTAAATTTTGTATAGTTAGAAAATTCTGCGGAAAATCTGGAAAATATTCCACCTTGACACTATGATGAACTTAGGTAACGTTGGGTAGTTTAAGCTAGTATCAAATACGTGTCAGACACACACACGGGGATATCATAAAAATTACATTATTAAAGTAACGGATCGCGGAATCTGAAGAATTGAAGGGAAATGGTAATCGCGGAATTGTGCACAAATTTTGGGGGCATTCGTGCACTTGTTAATGGCTTAATATGATTGTCACGAGCTCATAAAGAGCACAGTGTGATTTTATCGTAACTCAATTTGAGTTCCATCGCAACCGTGCGCTCTATTGTCGCGGATCCTTCTCCGACAAATTCGCAATCGATCCTGCCTCCTCAGCTTTCGCAGCTTTGTAAAATTCTACATTGAACATCCTCACTAACTTCCGAGTTTCAAGCTAAATCTCTTTAAAATATGGGTCTTATGAAAATTTCGTCGCGAAATTGTTGAAACCCATTTCTGCCGCTAAAGCATAATCCGCGAGCAGACTGTCAGAACCTGCAAAGGAAGTGGCGCGGTTTCCGGGACACTTCTGTATAATATATATCGTATAGCATAGAAAGGGTGAGGATACAAGAGAATAGGATAGAAGGTGTAGTGAGTGTGTATGTGTGCGTGTGAGGATTCGGGAGAGTTGTGTGTGACTGTATGTGTGTGAGGGGAAGAGACTCTCACGAGTAGGGATGTGCGATTCATGAAATTGTGTATCGCAATGCGATCTTTTTTAAAAATCGCAACCAATACAATATATCGCATTGCAATTTTTACTGCAAAATGATTTTAAGTCGCGCGCGACTTTATGTCGTAAATGCGATTTAGAATTGTCCGCGATTTTATATCGCTAACGTGGTTTTTGATCAGGGAATTTGGGGCATAATGGAAACCGTAATGTTTAAATAAATGTTAAATGTATCAAAAATAAATAAATAAACTCTCTCTCTCTCTCTCTCTCTCTCTCTCTCTCTCTCTTCGTACTGAGTCAAAATTTATTCAAAATTTATTCTTCGTATTCTTTCAAATGTTCATTATAAGAAAACAAATTTTACTGTGAAGAAATAATTAGAAATGAAAGTATATGATGAAACCAAATGATGATCTGTTAGAAACATCACTTAACCTTAATTTATTTTTTATATGGGGCAAAATGGAAGACCTTTTACAGAACTTATTTCCAAATCGTTAACTTTAAAACATTTTTAAAATGTGTCTTATTAGGATATAAAATATACAAGAATGTGTTAATATATATTTAATTAATTATAATTATTTATGAATATTATTAACATTTTTAACATTTTTAATTTTATAAAACAGTGAGACTACTTTTCTTATTAAAGTATTAATGAGAATCAATATTAAATGTAGTAATCTTTGATAATCTACTGAAACATATACATAAAAATCATATATTCCAGCTAAATTTCTATTTTATGTATAAAATATATTTATATAAAATTAAATAAAACTTCTCGATTAATAAATTACTCTTTATTGATAAATTATATATATTTTATATATATGTTTTTATATACATGTTCCAGAATATTAATAAAGATTACTATATTTAATACTGGTGGCCATTAATATTTTAATAAAAAAAAGTAATAAAGAAATAGTCTCATTGTTTTATGAGAAAAATACACAAAATCGCACATCCCTACTCACGAGTGTATCCTATTAATATTAATCATTTGTTTCTAGCCGGAGCTCGGTTGGGAGATCGATCTAGACGACCTGGAGGCACAAATTGACGAGTCAACGGCGGCGATTGTAATAAACAATCCCTCGAATCCGTGTGGCTCCGTGTTCAGCCGTGACCATATACTTGACATTCTCGACGTCGCCGCTCGTTACTACGTACCCATTATAGCCGATGAGATTTACGAGCACATGGTACGTACCCAAATATTACGCTTCTTTTCTCCCCCAAGTATCAAATGACAAATCGTTTCATTTGCGCGACAAATAAAGCGCGCGCCGCGCGTCCTTTTGTTCGAAAGAGGGGGGCAATTAATCCAGAACAGGTATGCACGACATCCCGAATCCGGAGAGGGTGCGTTTTACACATGCCATGACTGAGAACGGGATTCTTTATTATCGCGATACGATATACGGTGCGTTTTAACGAAATTGCAATCGCGAGGAAGATATTTTGTGCACGAGCGTAATTTACTTCGAATTTTCTTGACCTCGGCATTTTCTCGCTGCTTATTCTACACTGAGAGAAAAAAATGTCTAAAAAATAAAAAATATCTATCTGGTGGGTACTACATTGTGAAACATTTCGTGTTAAATTTAATACATTTCACATGTCCTAATTTATTTACTTTAATTTTTGTGTTAATTAATACATAGCGAACATGCGAGCAAATGACGCGAATAATATGTCGAATATTAGCGCAAAAATTTTACATTTTGACGCTATCGTATTATTTTAGCACTTAAAAATATGAACTCAACGTAGTCACAAAACAATATAACGACAGTACGTTAAATTCATGAGGCGGCTATGCTAAAAATTTAATAAAAAATTTCTACGTGGATCGATTTCGACACAAATACCGGATGTTTTTTTTTATCGTACAGTAATATATTTACTCGCACTAATATATGTATTTACACATATATATTTTTTTATACTAAAAAAATTCTTTTTAAATGAGAAAATATATATTCTCCTAACACTGTTTTCTTTCACGAAAGAGCAATTATTTGTTTTGTTTAAACAAAAGAATTTAGATTGAAGTAAATATACTAGTGCCTACTGAATAAATATTTTTTATTTTTACGGATATTTTTTTTCTTTCAGTATAAAAACTTTTTATTTTAGCGAATTTCGCGAATGTAGTCATAGTTTGCGCCTTTCCGTATTGCGAGAGATAGTTTTTTCACGAGAGGAAATTAAACGTTATGCGAAAAATACTCGATGTACACGTCGAAGAGGAAAAAATTGACGTTTGCGTACACACTCGCTGCGATTTCACTCGTAATTTACAATGAATTAATTCAAGATGAAACAGAGTAATGTAGGAGCGCGATAGTTTTACGTTATTTCGTACGTTTACGCGTTTGCACGCGCAGTCGTGCAACACACACATATGTATCCATTATGCGCAAATACATTTTTCACCTCCCCGCTGTTTTCAGGTATTTCCAGGACGGACTTTCCACTCGTTAGCGTCTCTATCGACCGAAGTTCCTATTTTATCGTGCAGCGGACTGACTAAAAGGTACGTCGGAACGTGCAGCGACTATAAAATATCCGCATTTTGGCGTTCGCGCAACTCGGACGGGGGGCCTCTCGCGCGCGGCGTGCCAGAATTTTTCGCGCGCGTAACGCGCAATTTTGACGTATTAAACGAGATACGACACGCGGCTAATCTGCCCTCTTGAAATACATTGTCACGCGTTACTTAACACTTGAAGATTTCAGGAAGGCGTCACGGGAACAAATTTGAAAGAGAGCGAAACGAGACTAAAAGGTCAAAATCGTCGCGAGATATAAGCGCCTCCACGAATTGGACGCTTCGTCTGAAAGATGTGAGTAACACACGGAGCGCGGAAAAGTTCAAATAACATTTATACGTGTACACAATGAAGGACACGGAGAAAACGTTGCGATTTTGGACGTCGCGAGCGCGCTGCGTCGGTCGAAATAATTCTCAGAATGCGCCACCGAGGCAAGTCCTTTTCACGTTTCCAAGTTTTCAATTACTCTCAGCACGTTACCTCCTATTATCTTTTATTACGAGAGCGTGGAATAAAAGTGTCGCTCGTGAAGTTGACTGAAGAAATCTACGGGAGGCGAGCGGCCGACCGTGAGACTTTTCACTCAGTTTTCAAAAATGAAGCGAGGCTCGATCGAGCGTGAATAAAGACGTCGTGAACGGCGATCCGGCGCTGGTATTACGAAGTTTCGCGCGATTATGCTCCCATTATTCCGGCGGTATCAGATTTGAAACGCAACTTAATTTACGGCCGCCTCTCGCGCTGTACCCCAGTTGTAAATGAGTTCTCGCAGTTGTTGTTAAGTCTTTGATTGTGGCGCGTATTGGTGTGTTTTATACGCCGCAAATTTCGCGGCTGAGGCCTCCTCCTCCCCCTCCAACAGTTACTTCGGTGTGTACGTAAGCATTAAATCGCGTTTCTCATGCAAAATTCAGCGATATGTACGCGTGATCACAAGATGAAAAATACAAAAAGCGAATGACAGATAGATCAATGATAGATCGATAAACGCCGGGCGCAAAACCCATTTATATAATGGCGGACGGGGGAGTAGCGTGATAATTTGATAAATAAACATCGCTAACGAGCTTCTATTAAAACGGCCATATTGAACGCGACGGCAGCACATCAAAATAAAAGTTTTGGGATCGATCGCGAGTCCCTTTTTCGAGAGGGAAAGAGAGAGAGAGAGAGAGAAAACTTTTCGCACGCATATTAATCTACGCGCAAATGCGTATAATATTCCGATCCTGATTCAGATATATTAATTAAAAGCGACCGTGCTGCTTCTTTTTATTTAACAGATGCACTCGAATTTACGAGAAATTGTATCGGGAAGGAAGGAGAGTGCTAAAGCAAACGAGATTATTTCAAAATGCAGTGTTACATCATTAATATACACACGGCTACTCATACACATTCGTGTTCAGAATAGATGTGTGTAACCCAGTTAAGGATACCACATTAATTCCCGTAATTCTGATTCGAACCTCTTCCATGCCATCGAAGATAAATGAATTATTCCGGAAGATAAAGAGCGCAACTTGCTCTGTGTACGAGCTCGTCCTGTGTACGCCAGACTTTTTGCGACCGTACGCTAAACAATACGATTGCGTATCGCAATAAAGACAACTCTGCTCTGGCTGCCCAGCCGCGGAAACGCAGTTTCACTTCTCTCGTCGCGACTGCAAAACAACTGGCGGAACGTTGCATCGCACGAAATTGCGGAAATACGATCTCGGCTTAATCGTTCAGGATAAAGTAATCAATAAAGCGTGGATGATTTTTTCACGGATATTAAACTATTAATTCGCAGCCCAGAAACGTCAACAGTAATGTGATCTTCTCTCTCTTTCTCGATTAATTCATGATTATATTTTACTAATTATTGATTTTTATCTCACGATTATTTTATATTAATAATATGATAACTTTATGATTGTCTTTTCATAAACATTATATTTGCAACCAGAATCTTCTTTCTATTGTGATATAAAGTTATCTTGGAAGAATGCGCGATAATCACGATGTGTATCTTTACACGGAGAGAATTTTATAGTGAAAATTATTATGGAATTTTAGATTCTTTACTAAGAGAAAAATACTTAAACATTTATTTGTGAGGTAAAAGTTCACTTTATAGAAATAAACTGCATCCCACACATCAATTTTTAAATAATTTCCTCGGTATATTGAATTTCTATTTTTAGAATAGAATCCTGCAACCGAATAATAGATCGACATTCTGCAGTAATAGACTATGCTTTATTTCATATGTGTTAGAAATTAAAATGTGCTATTATAAAAGTTGCTGTTCCCAGCAAAATTTATCATGTGCCTTAGCAAGAGAACCTCACAGTGTATTTTAGGAGAACCTAGTCAAATTGAAAAGAATCGATATGAAAAAGAAAGGAAAAGAAAAACTGTAACATTCTGTTCGTGTACAAATGCAATCTACGCGAGCGGACTTGCATAGTTTCGCGCGATGCATATGCACGGGAGGAATTTATCAGACGCGGATATCTCCAATGTAACAGACGCAGCAACATCGTTGCGTTATTTATATTAGACACGCGATCGATCGATTTTTCCACGCGAATACGCATAATGCGCCTATGCAAATTCATCAACTTGAAAGCAGGACGGACCTATCTCGTTTTCTCTCACTCAGTATGTGTGTGTTTTTTTCCTCCCACAGATTTCTAGTTCCAGGCTGGCGTATGGGCTGGATAATAATCCACGATCGTCAGAACGTCCTGGAGGCCGAGGTGGGTAAACGGTCGCGGCACAATACGTGACAGCCTGAAAATAATTGCTTCTCCGGCGGCATTGTTTCCGTAACGAGGCCGGGCATGTCCCGGCGAGTTCGGCACTGCCGCCGCCGCCGCCGACTCCGCGGGGATTGGATTAAATTTCGTTGATTAAACTTTATTCCGACCATTAAAGTTCGGCCCTTTGGCAACCGGCGCCGATCACGTCCTTAATTCCACGCCGAGTTGCGAAGGCGCCATCGTCTTGGACGAAGTTTAAACCGCCGCGCTCTCTGCACGCCGTAACCGATTATTTTCGCGCTCTTTAATAACTTTGCCGGAGTCGTTTCGCGGGAGCGGCTAAGTAATCGCGATGAAGATCCTAGTGCAAAATCGAGCCCGGATGAGTTTTATGCGCGCATATCGCATAAGTGACGCACGAGGGAACATAAAAATACAAATAGATCCTTTTACATTAGTCGCGGAACGTTAACTGCTAAATATTCTATACGACATGTCGAAATTAAAAAAAAATGTTATTAAATCATAATTACTATTCGACTTCTAAGGTGTAGTCGCGACCAAAAGATTGCAACACACTTTACATTTTGGACGAGTTTCAGAGCAACTGAAAATTATTCTCGGAATTTTCATCTATTTCCAAACAGATCGAAAAGAAACGGGATCTTTTTGTTGCAGACTATATGTAATTTCTGTAACACATCGAGAAAATCAGATTTTATTTTTCTTTTGTTTTTTTAAGACTTCGAGATGCGCTATTCTTTTCCTTTTTACGTTCATGTGTCTACAGAGTTATATATTTTTTTTATACATTTTTGTGCTTCGTCGGACTTTGAAAGAAAGAGGTGAATATTTGCTTCTCTGACGATGCTTTCGAATAGGCGAGCATCGAACGGCCCGGTAAATACCTGTCAATTTTCGGCACGTTTTAGTGTTTCACAACATACGAAGTTTTCGCGAGATGCCATTCAAGGTTTTAAAAGTGATTCGCGCCCTACTTGACTCGACCGAGCACCGGGCTCGCTTTGGGAGAGTTTCTACATCTGTCCGGATTCACTGAGAGAGCTTGTATAATTCCTCGCGTATGAAAAACCCTTTATACCGTCTTCTCTTCTAAATATGTGAAATAAATTTATGAAACTTGGCGCATGCTTAATTGCACACGGTGAATTTACTCGTTGCTTCTTCTTAATTCAATGTATATCTCGCAGTCGTTATGAAATTTCATGTCACTTTATTCAAACTCGCGTAATTATTAAGGTAAAAATACCAATTCCCGGACACAAACCTAATCTTGTACGTTCTTTTTGTTTTGGTCTTTAAATATAAATATATAAATTTTTAACATAAAATATATATACAAGTATTGAGTATGTATATAAATTCCACGCATATTGAAAGTTTAAATATTCGTATTTAAAAAGCAAAACAATAAGAATGTCCAAGATTAGGCATGTGTCCGAGAATTACTTTTACCTTAAATATGATGGAAAATAGTTTAAAAACAAAGTAAATCAGTAACTATTGATGTGAGGTACCTACAGTATCTTCGAATAATAAAATATTTAAACAAAACACGTTTTCGAAGCAAAAACTAAAGACAAGATCTTCAGATCTTCGAAAAGTTATTCTACTACGAAAAGAAAAATGTTACCACTATAAGATGCTTTTATCTAATAAGTAAACCTACTCAAAAGGTATACTCCGATTTCTTTTTAATTTGGCACAAATATAGAAGTACTTTCTTATACATTTTTGTTGCACTTATTGATGATAGGAGTGAGAACATTAAAAGCTATAAACTGCCCATGAAACTCAAACTGGACCAAAATAAAAAAATATGACCTAAATATTTTTTGTACTTCTATATTTGTGCTAAATTAGAAAGAAATCGGAGTGCAACTTTTAGGTAGATTTACTTGTAGGCGGAGTAACTTCAAAGATCTGAAGGTCAACTTTTTTTTTGTCTCGAAAATATTGGCAATATAAGATTTATACAATAAACGTAAGACTGATAAATTGTTTACTTTTCCCCCACAGATTCGCAAAGGCCTGCATTGCTTGAGCCAGCGAATAATTGGCAGTAACACCATCATCCAGGGCGCCTTGCCCGCGATACTTCGGAAAACGCCGCAGAACTTTTTCGACGACATTATTCACACATTATACGTGAGTTTTTGCCGATTTGCAGTCACAAATTTCTCTCGCAGACGCAGAATTCTACACGTATCATCATTATCGAGGCAGATTTTATTTATCTTCGCGCACAACGAACGCATGCGCTCTCTATGTACACAAATTAATCTCATATTACAACAGCTACCGTGGAATAATCGTAACGTTAATTGTTACAGTCGCACTCCAAACTGGCGTACAGCTTTATAGTAAAGATACCGGGCCTAAAGCCGATAATGCCGGACGGAGCGATGTACATGATGGTAATTATTTCCATTAAAATTAGTCCGGTCGCGTCCTCGCGTAATTTCAAGAATCATATCGCGCACGTCGCCCGACAGTTCGTAGCCGTCGGCATATAGAGCCGTGCGCGCGCGCGCGCGAGAATGTTAATCGAGCGCACGATAAATAGGTCGTACAATTAGTCCCTGCGCGCCACCGCCATTTATACGTTAATGCAAATACTATCAGTAAGGTGAGCCCGGCGGCGCAATTTACGGACTATAAATTATTGAATCGATTTCTAGGTCTACATCGATCTGCCGTGTTTTCCGGAATTTAATTCCGACCTCGAATTCGTGCAGCGGCTGCTGATGGAAGAATCTGTGTTTTGCCTGCCCGGCCAGGTTCGTTTCTGACGTTTAAATCATCAATTGATCATTTTTAATTCTAGATTATATACAGGGTATTCGGAAAAGGGTGAGTTGACTATATATATTAGCTATATTCTTATATGTTAGCTATATATTAGCTATATATTAGCTATATTCTTCACATCAAGACGGATATTTTGAGTATATCCTTTAATTTTTGTTTTTCTTTTAGAAATTTTGAAATTCACTTAAATAAATATTATTGTATGTATTAACATATCGAAATGAATTCTTTTAACCTTGATTCGAAATTAACTTTTTAATTAAGCGCTTTAGTCACTGTCGTAAAAGAAAATTTTGTATTCAATTTGATGAAAAAAATATAACTGCATAGCCAGCTCGCCCTTTTTGAAACATCCTGTATATATATGTACGTCTCTATTTCTCTCGCTCTTTCGCGTGCGCGAATATGCACAAATGCATACTGAGAGAAAAATGTTTGATATTTGTAACTATAATCATATAGAGAACTAATTATTATAAATTATTATCAAGATATTTTTTAGTCATTTGTACTATAATTTTAGTGATAATAATCTTATATGTTTGTTACTACTAGTAGAAGATAGTAGTAGTAATATAAGGTATAATATGCATATAAGGTTATTATCACTAAAATTATAGTATAATTGACTACAAAATGGTTGTCTTGACCATAATTTAGAGTAATTATTTTTCTATATATGATCATAGTTATAAATACCAAACGTTATTCCCTCAATACATATTTAAGCAAGCTCGTATGCTTATGGAAAAACGCGAAGGGTTTCTCTTGATTAACACTATGTGTACGGCATTGGCGGGATATTTACCGTTCGTATACATTGAAAAAACATTGTGATAAATGATATGGACGCGAAAACAGTTTGAAATATATGTATTACTGCTGTGTTAAATTAACCGCGACATGAATTTGCGAATTAAGCGTTTATGGAACAATTTCACTGTGACCTCGATTAATTTTATATTCAAAAATCAACTTTCAAAAGTCATTTTATCCAGAATTGGAACCAGAGACCGTATATTTTTTCTCGAAATTACAAAATTAGAGATGTTAGATGTCTATCATTTCCGTGATAAGTCGCGAATAAATATTCTTTGCAAAATTTAATTTTCAAATTTGCATTTAATTACGAAGCCAGAAATATAACGAGTTTTCCGAGTTTCTAGAGTGTTCTTTAAATCAGAGCTCGGAATTTGTTGCCCATTTCGGCCGATTCTCAGGAGCTACGCCTTCTATCTTCTGCTTGCCGCGAGCGGGCCACAAAAGTGACGGTCGAGCCTCCAAGCTTGAAGCCACGACTGGCCGTAATTTTCGTGGCCCGCTCGCGGCAAAGGGAAGATAGTAGGTATAGTTTCCGAAAATCGGCCGGAATGGGCAACTAATTCCGAGCTCTGCTTTAAATAATAGCTTATTTTAGGAACGATAGTTTTGATCATATCGCGAAAGAGTGTAAAGAGCAATCGGTGTGAAAATCGTTTCTTACGGTATATAACGCGATTTTACTAATGTCCCGCGTTCTTAATTCTTAATTCCGCAGTGCTTCGATTTTCCCTCGTACATGAGGCTGGTAATCACCCTGCCGAGTGACATGCTTGAGGAAGCTTGTCAGAGAATTCAAGAATTCTGCGAGAGACATCATTATAAAACGGCGGAGATTGTTGGCAGGAACAATTTCGTCGACGTCGAAATCTCATATTAAAAAGGGAGGCTGAACACACGCCACGGAACTCGAAAACTCCCGTTAAGCACCCTGCTGATTATTTTCTCTCCGATCGGATCCGAATCGTGACGACTGTTCCCGAAAAGAAAAAAGAGCCTCTTCCTCGGCCTTGGTTTACTTTTGTGTATATGTACATGTGTATTTTTAATTTTCTATAATATTGCTTATAAGTGTACAATTATGTATGTAATATGAACATTCGATATGTAACATTCTGTAGTATAGATTTCTCTGATCTCCTCCCCTAGACTTTATCATTTTGAGATAGTACTCAGTTAATTATTACATGGTAATTGTCTTCAATGATCGTAATTTCGCACTGTCACCATTTGCGCGGTGACTTTCCTTATCGGTAGACATCATTACCTTATCGGTAATGCGAGTTACATTTAAGTATGCACTACGTAACATGACGCTTTGTGAGCGTTCTGATTGTACAGTCACCATTGCGCGTTGATGTCCCGCAACGTCCAGTCGTCCAGGCCCAGGTCCAGCTCCAGATCTCCATAGCGTCCAGTTGTTATCCCATCTAGATCGCAATTCATTGCATTCGCGAGCGCGATTATTTCGACGACGCGAAACGACTTAATGTGCGGAAACTACGATAAATTCTGACACTTTGAAAAGTTATTCGTAAGTGGCGTGTAAACAAACTACGATTCGAAAACTGCACGGCGTTCGACAGTATCAAGAGAAAAAAGATAAACATTCCGCGCGTTTCACAGACTACTGTTCTCTGTTTAAAGATGAGATACATATTTCACGAAAAATAATATTAATTTTTAACAAAAACAAGAAATGTGCACATTAAACATATAATATTTTAACCGAAATGATATCATAACCAATAATGTATAAAATTTCGGAAATTCGCGATAGCGGCGAAATGCTAAATTTATCACGAGCAAAATAATCGTGAATTCCGCATATGATAGCGTCATTTTGAGACGCAATTATGAGGCGCTATTATGAGGTGCAATTATGAGACGCCATTATTAGGCGCTATTATGAAGTGCAATTTTTATGCAAAATTTGTGCTGCTTGAAGCAATTAGGGAATTAAATTGAACGAATAATTTCATCAAATAATTTTGCATCTTTTATGAAATACAATAAGTTTAGATATGTAGTAAATAACACGATTATTTAAATACTTGATTGTTTCCAGCAGCACGTTTTAGTGGACGACACAAATCGAGAGAAGTCGAGAATCACGCGCGACGTTTCCCGTTCACCGACATGTTAAAATTTGTTATGATTGCTCGACACTCATACATACGCATATATTGGTTTCGAGGTTACGTGATTTTCGGCCGGCGAGTCGTGCTCGAGAATATTGTTTATGGTGTTTATTCGTCGATTTAACGTGCATTGTTCTTTATGACCTGATATATTATTTATTATATATTATATATTCACCGATATTTTATATATGTATGCACAATTCCCTTGCGATATTAAAGCTGTAAAAATACATAATTTTTCTGTGATCGTAAACAACGTTTCATATCGAGATCGAGATAACCAACGAAGCGACATGGCAAAAAATAGACAGCATTGAAATAAAATTGTCTTTTTTAAAATAAGAAAATTGCGTGTCGTTTGTCGGATTATTTTCAATGACGGTGTACAGTAGAATATATTGGCTGTTAGATACATACAATAGCAATAAAACCGCATTTTATACTCGTCAAAGATGTAAAACTGACGCTTCGCACTACAAATCCAAACAAAGGTTTCGTATTGTCTTTTAACTCTATTGTCGTGCCAGATTAATGCCCACTTTTATGCAAAAATCAATGTCTTTCACTTACACGATTGCACTATTTGATCTTTATTCAGGATTATTTCACATTCTATTGAATGCGCGGTAATTTTCTTTTTCCAATGCGTTTTGTTTCGAATCGCTACAATGTTTACAAATGGAGTTATAGCCTTTGTACTGATCCGCGCGTTTTTTATCGTTCGCTGCATCAAGCGCTGCACGCAACGCGTGAATGGAATGCGGAACGCGACTGTGTTGTTTACGGACAATCACCTTACGCTAGGCGTGACGTCACGCGACGAGCCCTAGAGAACCTCTAGTACAGAGAATCGCCAACTTGGTTACGTGACCAGCTGATTGGCTAGCATAAATATATATGGATTTAGATATTGCGACGCCAATGCAGAACAAATGCTTATATATATATATATATATATATATATATATATATATGGTTTTGCATCGGCGTCGCAATGTCCAAATCCGTACATGTTTATGCCAGCCAATCGCAGAGTAGCTGAGTAGCTGGTCACATGACCAAGTTGGTGATTTCTACTAGAGGTTCTCTAACGAGCCCGGGCCACTACCCCCACTCCGCGGCACAGATAAGCACAATGACTTCGCTCACTAGTTCGTTACGGCAACGCGATCGTTTCCCCCACTCTTTAGTAAACAATGCGCCGGCGCGACAGCAAGTGCCAGTGTCGCACGAGCGCGAATTTCCAACTCAAATTTGATGTCGATGCCGTGACTTTAAACGGTTATAACTCGCGAATAAGTCAATGTAACAATATAAAATAAAAAAATATCTTCCTCACACGTTTCCATATGCGTCTATTTTGCTCTTTCACCACTTACTTGGAAAAGTCTAGTGATAATACGCAATTCATTCGTTCGCGATTGAATTATTCAGATTCCTTTCTTTGTCTCGTCTATTTTAACAGTGACGAAATCAATATTGTTACTACAGATGTAGATAAAAGAATAATTATCGTGTTTATTAGTGAAATAAGAGCACACATTTTTGTTCAATTTCATGAGATCTATCTGCACACGAGCGTTAATATATGCATTATATCAGACATTTATATATATTTTCTACGTCGATGAAAATAATATACAAGAAAGAGACTGTGAAGAGACAAAACTTGTTGTTTTACATATCCATTAATTATAGAGAATGTTTTGAATGGATTTAAGTGCTTGTTTGCAGGTAGAATTTGTTAAATAGAATTAAATAGAAAAATCCTACATCATTTTGTATAGATTTTACTGTAGTAATTACTAAATTATATTAATAAAAAAAAAAATTGTTCACAATTAATGCGCGCAATGCGGTGGAACAAGCTTTGTAAAGTTAATTTCTTACAGAGTTGAATACTTGAGATTCACGCGCACATAAGATATTTAGAGATAGCTGCTATCTTCAAACAAACGTACGCTTTTAATTTCAGCTAATGAATTTGTATCTCACGGCGAATGCATTTTCACTGTGATAGCCAACTTCTAGTAATGATAGCCTTTTACCTAAGTTCTAATCAGACATTCGGATGTAACTGATACTATGCTAAGTCATTTCTTTACGTGTAGACGTATTTTTCGTTAGAACGATATGTCGTGCTTCGAATAGGGTTTTTCATGTTAATTAAACTCACAATCATAGCATTAAACGAGCGTTGAGAGAATGCAGGGCAGTAACTCTATTGTCGTGCCTCATTCGCAGACTGGCACTTTGATTAACAACGTGAGGAAGTGACTGTATCGTTGGATCACATTAACTCGAGCCATTTCCATCGTTTTTATTTACAAATACAATACAGTTGTCTCCGGCCGGCTATATTCCGACACTACGTGTGTATGTAGAGTTCTATCAAAAAGGCACATGATTTATGCCGCCGGAAATTTATGTAAATAAAAAATGAGATATCTCCTGCGCTTATTTCGATTGTATGGACGTTATGCAAAAACAGTCGAGCCGATTTTCGCCCGGCTCGCGCTGTATCTTACGATCGATCCAACCAGGAATGTTGGCCACATGCCATACTGGAGTTTAGTTCAAAAGGAGAGGTAGGAAGGGGTTGCGAGGAGGATTCAACTCAAAAATGGGCGGTGCCGTGTTTAATATTGATTTCACGACGAAAGAATTTGCGTAACGTAAATTCTGGGAGATAAAGTTTCGAGATATAAGTACGTTTTAGATCCTGAGATTTGGAAACTGATCGAAGGATCGAGTCCCGAAATTTATGGAAGAGCCGTCGTCACGATATTTCTTTCGATGGAACGTAATATTTTTCCAAGCAACAAAATGCATGCTTATACGTTAGATCGGCGTTCCTCAAGTAATTTATGTGCGTTTGATCGCTTCTCCGACTTTTACCGCTTCGAGAACGGAAGTACGGTATCGTTTTTGCAACGAGAGTTGGATTTACCTGTACGTCAATATATACACAGGGTTAAATTCACCAGCAAATCCGTTTTGCCGCACCATTACGAAAATCGAAGTTCGCGCACGTATCTCCCGCGACCGACACGTTGCGCGTGTAATTTTATGCACCGCCGTAGCGTGCATTGCAGCGTAATTTTTATAGTCGCGCTCTCCAGGTGGTTCCAGGTGGAAGACCGGATACTTCTCTCTTTTTTTTCCTTTTTTTTTGGCACGGAAACATGGGGATGGAGAAAAAATCGCGGCCGCTATAAATCGTTCCGCGGAGAGACGTAGCGAAGAAGAAAAATTAGAAGAGCCAAGATAGTCGTAGATTTTTGCACGGCAATGGATTGCTTTCATTGATGATTTGTTTCAGGTAACAAAAATAATGTTATCTTGCATACGCCTCGCATAATTTTCTCGTCGAGGATATAACTTTAGACTTTATTAACTCACGGAAAGAGTATTTTATTTTCTATTTATATCCGCGTCAGCACCCCGATTGAGATAGAAAGAGAGGGAGAAACTGTTCTTCTTAGATACAATCTTATTATATCTTATTATATCTAGCAGGTATAATCTTATTTTTTTAACGTTAATATTACTTCCTATTCCTTATTTCTCTCGCTCTTTTTTATAATCTATTTTTATCTTTCATTATGGTCTAATTCGTAGTACCCTCGCCTAGAGAGAGAGAGAGAGAGAGAGAGAGAGAG